ATACAATAAATAAATCACAACCAACATTCTTCCGTTTTTTTTCTTCTCCTTTACGTAATTCCAACAAAAGAAAAAAAAAAAAACACGTATTAACCCCTCGACGACCCTGAGGTTTTTCACTCTGTTTATACGAACAGTGATACAGTAATACGAATTGTTTACACTGTTCGTTCAAAGCCGTATCTGTACAATATAACACACAATGCTAAACACAAGATCGAAATCTACCGTGTAATTTTAATTCATTTCACTTCTAAACTACATTGTGAAGCTTCTTTCGTCTAGGGGTTAAGAAAAAAAAAAACAAAAAAAAAATTAACAACATTGGAACAACAAGTGGAAAAACGCATGTAACAATATTGCTGAACACATAAATATACAAGCACAGACAAGAGGATATCGACATCTTGGTCTCTTACCTTTTGGATTCAGTCTATCGGGGTTAAACCATGCGTCTGTAAACAACAGAATCGAATTATGTTAGTTCTCGTGGTCGACATTAATTTCAATGTTACTACTCTACGGTGATCTGTGAGAAATGAAAGAAATGACGACGAGAACAAAAATATAATCGTTGATGTTACGTAACGAGAAACAATAAAGATGATCGTTTATATAATCAGTAATTACAATTGTGCGATTTTAATTGTTACCGATACATTTCAGAAAGGAAATCTTCGTTGAATGTTTATCGAAGATTCAATTGAAATGTAAAAAGGAGAGAACCTCTGCAAATATATGTATTCGCAAGTCACCCAGTGTACAGGAGATCGTTATCCAACGGACAAGCACAAAAGCCACAAAAAAAAAAGTGTTGAAAACCACACGTTGCCATTTGATCTGAGCTCGTTCAAGGAAAGTTGAACGTGTTCACTCACTGGGACTATCATTAGCGTTAAAAGCTTGTTGATGAATCAAACAATCCGCGATTTTCATTTCCTGATGCTTCTACACCGTGTAATTTCTTTCTCTTTTCTTTTTTACCGTTACCACAAGCCGTTACTCAAACGGATTGCTAGGAATTGATTTGTAAAATCACATATTACGTGAGATGCGCATTATAACAGAATTGTTCGATAATACTTCACGTGGAGAAATATTTCTCTAGTACTTGATTAACTGTTACAAAATTCTTCGCGTACTTCTCCAGGCTATTGTGTCAACAAATTTGAAGTAAAGGGACATTTTTTGTATAAAATTTTTTTTAAGGTTAAAACGTCGTGAAAAAAAGAAAACCATATTTTTCAGGTAATAGGAAAGATTTGGCATTTTTCTTTTTTTTTCTTTTTTACGAAATGTCAAATTAGTTGTTTCGAAGTTTCTTAAGCGTTTAACAAATATTCCGTGGATAGTGTAAAATGATCCCGGGAAGCCCTCTTTTAAATAGTAATCGATTGGCTGCACTCGGTGTAATTAGCACGCCGTAGGGTATTGCGCAATCGTTGACCTCGACTTCTATCTCGACATCTCTGCACTTCGACCAGACGACTTGAAATCTACACGCGTGATTTTGTTCAGCGGAGAACAAGCTGAGAGATCACGAATTCTTTTATCGGTTAACACTTTAATCCAAAACGAACGCTGGCGCACCCAGTGTATTTCGTAACTGGTATAAAAGTCTACGTGATAAAAATCTTCCTCCAAAATCCTCGAAAAGAGAGGAATACAAAATTTCAAAAATTAAAAAAAAAGAAAGAAAACTTACTAATTCTAGTGTACTTTTAGCAATTCTTCTTTGACTGATTTTTTTTTTTTTTTTAAATAAAAAAGCCATTTATATGTTCATACATTTTTCCCGTTAAAATGAACGATATGTATCAAAAGATAAAATAAAAAGAAAACTTCTCACTTTAATCTTTTCGAAAGATTCGATAAACGAAAATTGGAACATTTTGTATGTTTCACAAAATAATAAAGAAACTTATGAATTTTTTGAAATGAGGTAGAAAGTGGATATTTTATGCGAATTCATCTTCGATATTTCTGGAATCGATGACGTAAGCAACAAATTCCACGGATGTTAGCATAATTTTCGCTCCATCAGCAAATAATTCGCGTTCTGTATAATTCAACCGATTACTCATATTGCGTTGAAGGGGACACTTTGGAGTATCTAGAATAATCACCGGATAACGTCTACTATCCGAACCTTACTGTCGTTATCGTGGACATTTTCAAAATCACCGAGCAACTTCAACAGTATCTGTACAGCGCCACTCGAAGTTACAGCTTCTTATGTAACACGCTCCACTAACAATTCTAATTATTATCGAGATTGGTCGAAAACGATTTGATAATTGAACGGTAGCTTGTTACATTATTCGACGACTTTTGAGCACATTTTACGATAAAAAAAATTCTGCTCGTACGTGATCTTTAGCCCGTTCTGATAAAAGCTCTAAATTAAAATCTACAATAAAATGTGATTTTTTCCTCTATCAATCGTAACCTCACAAAGATACGACCACGCCTATTCATACTTATCGACAAACAGCGAGTCTCGTTTCATATTTCCATAACCCCAAAATAATACTATTTTTGTATCAAAAATATTTTTCATTGAAATTCATCTTAATCAATTTCGAGAGTATAATACTGCGATTAATGCACGAAAATAAAAATACAAAGATAACTCGAAGATACGGTATCTACCAATAAGAAATCATTTTTCTCCCAAACTCTCGACAACCAGCGCTTGTACGTATTTTACGACATTATAAACGGCGATTTATTGATTCTTTTTTTCAATATTCACTGTTCATCTGGCGACACGGAATTATGTTAAAAAAATATAACTTCGTTGCTATTTTTTCGTCGTCTGAACCAAGGTACACCGACACGATTTCTATTTTTTTCATCGTTATCAAAAATTCCTATTTACAGCGTGGAATATATTTATAAAAACCGATAGCCGTCGATCAATAACCCACTTACAAATCGCATTTCTGCTGCGCATGTCAGACAGTCGATACACCCGGACCCGTACAATTATCTATCTTTTTTCTTTACTTTTCCTTTCTTTTTTTCCCCCTTCCGTTATTAGAATTATTTTTGGTAACGCTATCCATTAGTATTATCTCAACAATTTACATGGCAAACAAGGGTACCCCTGCAATAAAGGCGGTTCTCTTTTTATCTGCACTAAAATTAGATGACTTTCTGCTTTTTTTAAATTTACTTGTTTGCTCAATTCGAGCATATCCGCGATTAAATAACACTGTGCTTATTATATTCTTTAAAGGAAAAAGTAAATGCTACACAGGAGAATTTTTACAATTAAAATTCTTTGTAATAATGATTTACTGTAAAATATTCTTTTAACGTAGGCAAATAATATTAAATGTTGAAAATTAACGATAGACCTGGCTAACCTTAAAATATCATCAAAAGAAATTTGTGTAAAATATATTTATGATGAGAGAGCATTAAAATTTATAGATGGATATGTACACGGAAACTGATCAATACCTACGAGTGTTTTACTAATGAAGTTATTAATAAGTATTGGTATAATTGATGATGCAATCAATAGTTTAATAAAAGAAAACAAGGAAGTTTGACAATTCACCATGACAAATCAATTTTTAAAATTAACTCTGTAATATTCATTCGTGAAACTCTACGTTCTTACTAACGGATGGATTAACTTCATTGTGACCCTGAGAATCCCCTCCGAGCATGGACCGCAGTGTTAATTTTCTTTATATACCTAATTAATTGTGTCATTCGCCACATTTTTTCGACACTTATTTCCAGTCAGAAATAAATAACATTTTTTTTTCACGTCCCGTTAATTGAAATGAATTTATACAAGCAATACCATAGACTCTATAAAACACAAAACTTAACCAATAGTGTCAGTTACATTCTAGCCTCCCATTCTTGTAAAATATGTTTTACTCTACAGTATATACTCGCTGAAATTATACTCAGCAATGTATCATTATATCACCCCTTCGTGCACGTTTATTTTATATAAACTTAAGCATGAAATTATTAATTGCGTAAAAAGACTACAGTGACTGGTACGCACCCTACTGATCGTAAACTGCACTTTACCTCCTGCGTCAAATCGATACGCGACTTATCCTGTAACTCTTCGAACATTTTATACTCCTATCTTACGTCAGATGGGATGAAGAAAAGAAAGCAATAAAAAATGAACATACGCAAGTCAAGGATATTCCAGAAGCAAGAGGTGCAACTTGCTACATCGGTGCATGACTCCTTGCTATCCGTATCTGCGTCTTCCTTCTCCTTTTCCGGGGAGGACATGGGGCATGCCGGCTCCGTTCTCATTTTCACCTAACCTTGCGTCTCAACCGAACCAAGAACGAATTGCATTCGAGCACTACCTCGATAATCCGAACTGACAGCGCGAACGACGCACTTTCTCAAAGGAACTTCTTATTTCCGTCCTTTTGACCCTTCTATTACTTTGTCACTGACTTATTAGCCGCGTCACACTAGAGTATTCGATCGGTCGATCTGTGTTTGATACACGAAACAATATAGAATGGACCTGTCGAGATAGAAAATCTTCGTGCGTATTTCAACGTGCAACTCCCTGATGACACACTATGCTTCGAGGCAAGAACAGGACTAACGACTATTATCGACCCGTGGACAGTTCCAGATATCCCCACCCCGTCTGAAACGCCATTGCTACGCAATGGGAAATGATAGGGCTTCGATAGAGAAGCAGCTAGTTACTTTGGGCGCCAGCAGATGATGCTCTAGACGCTCGTGGCGCCTAACGTGTTCCCGCCAGCAACGTCAGATGGCGCGGAATTCAAAATGTAACTAGATGGTCCTCTCTTCAGCAGAATACACGAATGAGATGAATTGTTACATGAAAACCTAAAATTTTGGCGCATAAATGAATTTACATGTATTTATATAAGGAAATAAAAAGTAACTGTTTTTTAACGGTTTTGTATGTCACAGTACAATCAAATATATTTAACGCTTTGTATACTTTTCTAGAAATTTATAATTATCATTGGTTAAGGTTATTCTGAAATTTTTAAGTTGTGAAACCTACGGTGATCACTAAGGATTATGCAGCAGAAATATGGTGATTAGTTTGCGTTGAAGTTTTTAAAGACGTGGACAAAGAAAAAGCGCGACGTTGCAGTAGCGTTTAGCAAACTGAAATAATTCATGAGTCAGGTGTGAAATTTTTCATTCTGAAGTCATGTGTAAAAATATCTCGCCGAAGAACGAAAAAGCTTCTTCAGCGGTAGAGTGTTGTCCGTAAGATACTACTTTCAATTAATACTTCGATTTTAATAGTACGAAACTTAAATAACTTAAAAAATTGATATTGAATATATTGTATATTTTTTCCTTAATTTGGTTTCTAAAGTATACTTTTTATGGAAAGTATTTTCCCATGGTCTGGATGTTCCCATTGGTTCAACCAAAAGAGGTCGTAAGGTATCCCCGTTGCGGATCAATATGGAGAGGAGATACGGGTGACTTCGATCCACCGTGGAAACCATACACGCAAAATACACGCGTCTCTTTTTTATGGTGCAACATGTTGTAATCCGATCCGACTGGAATTTTCAAGAATAACATCGACTAAGTATTTTTGAAAAAAAAATCATCCTACCTAACATAAAAATCCTTTCTATGTAAGTTTTCTTTATTCTACCAAAATTCAGTTAGTTCTAATACAATTTCTACTTAATTTCGAAGGAAATCTGAGATAATATCAATGAGAAATAGCACAGATCCGAACATCGTAGCAACTCGATTGAGAGATAGGAGATACAGGAAGGCAGACATTTGTCTTGATTAAATGTAATGAAGAACTCGGTGAGCAGCGAACACGAAAAGAGGCTTATAACTTGGCAATCATTCTACCATAAGCAAAATACGAAATGATACTAACAATATTTAATTATATCATTTTCAAATAAAAAGTATATATTACCACTAAAGAAGAATCTTTGAAGAAATCTATGATCAAAATATATGAATAAAAAAAATAAAAATCAATGACTATGCAGAAAAGACCAAAAATTTAATGGCGTAGAAATGTCAATCGACGCGCTTCATACGGTTACTCATACATAGTTGCTCGATGATGCATACCGTTGCACACCTTCACATTTAGTAATCGATAATTCGTTATCTGGCTAATGACATTTTGTTTGAAACAAATTTACAACGAGTACTATTAATATAGAATAAAAATGTGTTCCTAGTGTGATTTATCGTTACATATACTTAAGCATTTAGTAAAAAGTTATAATCATAAAATAAAGAATAATATTAACCCATTAAGGTATTCGTTACCAAACGTAGACTTAATGAGAAGAACCATGAATATGTAAGGTACATAGAAATTCAAGCGCAAAATCTTTGGTTACCGTTACTCAACATACAGTTGTACGTAAGGATAACGGTATGAAGACGCCACTGTACCCAAGAACAATACCTTCGGCCATATTAATGATAAACTAAAGGCCAATGATCTAAGTCTCATACCGAGTGACACAATAGTACGCAATAAAGTACAGTATCAGTTGCAGCTTCGTGGAAAAAAGTGACGTGTTCTTTTATGTCAATTGGATATTAGCGACGTAGATATCGAAAACGACGACGTAGTAGTTACAGATCACGATTACAGAGAGCGCAATTTTATCTACGCAATATGACGAAGAATATTTTCCCTCTGAACTGCAATATTTTTTGTTCATGATATTAAAGCATTGAAGTTTGGATGAATATTCGTCTTCTAAATTCTGAAAATATTTTGAGGAACAAAAATTACGTTCGACATATTATTTTCGTGAATCAACTTCTCATTAAGCCGGCGGGAAAACAAAGAAGTCTGAAAAAGGAGTGTGACGTGTTTGGAATAAATAATCACATCATTACCGCTCAGAAAAGCAATGATGTTGTAGCCAAGCGGAAGCGTGGTTCACTTCGTGCAAAGATGCTAAATTAATTAACGTCTCGTACTAATCGTTTCTGCTTTCCAGACTTTGGAGGTCGTTAATCAAGACATCGTCTCAAAAGCATTAAGCATGAAGAATGATTTTGTAATACTCGCATGTACGCATTAATATGCATCGAAGTAATTTGACACTGGGGATTAAAACTTAAAAAAAATTTCTGATAGCTTAACTGGAAGACTTATGAAACCCTTTTTCACTTTAATGTATCTTGTGTAATATTGATATAATTGTGACAATGTATCATTTTTATGGAGTTTCAGTTTAATTATTTATAATGAAATACATCGTTCGTTGCACATATTGTTTAAGACAAAACAGTAAATGTGTACTCACCGATTCCCATACTGCTGAAAATCTCTTTTGGTGCAATTTCCACTTCCTCCACTTGATCTCTTCTTACTTCTTGTTTTGCCGATTTGTTCTTCGCCGGTGACGCTTCTACCTCAGACTCGTACTCCGAATCGCCGCTTTCCGGTGCACTGATTCGTTCCTTTTTCTCTGCATCGCCAATCACATATTCACTTACACTTTCTTCTTTTTTCTCCTCTTTCGAAATCGGCTCCGAAACAGGTGGAGACTTTGCAGTGACGTTCGACGAGTCATCCGGCTTTTTCTCCGAGATGGACACGATTTCTGCTTCACGATCCGGAACTTTTGTCTCCTTAACCTCTTCCTTTTCCATAATTTCTTTCTTTTCTTCTTCTTTTTTACTTACTGGCTCAACCTTCAAAACTTCTGATTGATCCTCAATTTTACCCATCAACAAATCAATCTCTGATTCCTTCGATCTAACCTCAAAGTTACTTTCTTCAGCCGGTCTTCCTTTTTCCGACTCTAGCAGTAACATTGTCGCTTTTCTAGGATCTTCAGGTTCGTTCGACGATTGATTGAGAGAAAAATTAATCATATCCTTTTCCGTATCCATATTCTGCTTCGTACTTTCCTCTAATTTTTCGTTGTTATCCTCAAGGTGGCTCGATATTCCATCCTGGACGTATTCGAGAGGCTCGAAGTCGTCCATTGAATTGTGCTCCCTTCTGATTGGTTGCTCCTTCAACTCGGCCATCTTTGCTGCACACGAGGAGACGATTATCCTGTCATAGAATTCAACTTTCCTTTTGGAACGTTTTTAATATTCTTCCGTTAATCTTTTTCGTAACTTTCGAATAGAACTTGTTTTAAAAGATCTTTAAAAACTGTTGAAATATTTAACGATTAAAACAGTATTTAAGAATTCTTATTTGCAATGATAATGTTGACGTTTCACTTCGTTTTGATCACTCCTTTTAAGTACAGTTTCACTTTATTGACTTTGATAAAATTATACAGTTCAACAGCGTTATCTTTGTACAACTTTTTATTTACTTATTTAACAATACACAATAACTTATTCAAATGTTAGCAGTAAGCTACTAGACGTTGAAAATGAAAAACCGGTTCTAACGTTCACCGTTCCACGGGTGGATTCGATTCTGAAGCATGTTCTCGGATAGAGTATCTCACGGGGTGTGCGTAAGAGGGTTTCCGCCCCACCACTCCTGTCTGCACCAGGAGCGTATAGATATTGGGCGACAAATAAAATAAACACAACCAACGTAAAGTTTTAAAAAATTTTTTCATTTCTATTAAATTATACTAAAAATAAATATTGCATATTAAGAGTTCACAAACAGATATTAATACAAGGTTCTGGTACGCACTGTTCGTTCCTGAACCCAAACCAATGAAAATTCAGATAATTTCCCCACCACTTCAGTTGGGAAGCTGGAGGGAGAATAAGAGTTTGGGACAATGAGTCACATTGGAAAGGTTAGGCGTAGATGGTAATCCTGGTTGTATGGTATTACCTGTT